TAATAATAAAACATTCATTACATAATTATTTTGACTTGGCATAATCCGCCTTAAATTTAGCCAATTCATCTGAGTACCGCTGCGCCAGCAGAGGATCATAACCTGTAAAATCCCGCAAGGATTGCGAAAAAAGGCTACAAACACGGTCCATCCACTACAAAAAAATGGAAGGAAAAAAAAATTATGTTAAATATTTATAAAAAAAATAAAATTATTGTAATCAAATAACAACTACAATTTAACATGAGACTTACATAGTCCTTGTTGGCACGCGTAGGGACCTCGTTCTGGTCCGGCAGATTCTCGCCCAAACATTTAGGATGGGAAACCCGACGGTACCACTGCATGTACTCCGCAGTCGCCTCTGCTCGATCATTTGTGCTGGCCTTATACATACTGAGGTTGACGGTATGCAATACCGGGAACTGGTTCCACGTAGATACTGCACTGACATCAGAATGCTCAACCTTTTAGAGCCTCGACTCCCAAGGACGGCAGGCACTGATTGGTGCGAACATAGGGGGAGGGACTGTTTGGACATACCCCAACTGCCGCAGAAACCGCACAGGATAGTATTGCTCGACGATATCGCGGTACCGAATTAACCCACAATAAATAGTCCTCGGCTCTATCTCGTGCAGGGTAGGGGTGTCGTATGGCAACCATTGCACCTGTTCACAATTGCATAAAAACATTTATAAAAATATTTATGTTATTTTAAATAACGAGTAACTAAATTTAAATAAAATAACTTTACGTACATCGGAGGCAGTGAGCATGTCAAGTCTCCGACGAATGGCTATGAGACGCTCGTCCTTCCTCTGACCTGCCAGTGGGCTCCACATCTGAGATCGTGCGGAGTCGTTAGGACCGAAGGGTAGACGTCCCCCCTGGGGTCGGAAATCAGGGAAATATTCATAAATCCAAGACTGCTAAAAGTTAAGCAGCCGGAAAGCTGTCTGGAGTCCCCTCTGCTGGCAATACCTAACTGTCGGTACAAATATGCCAGCGTAGCCGATCCCCACGAGTAACCCCCAATAGCATCCACGCCGTTAAGCACCTCAGCTAGGAGCTTGGGAGTCTCTACTACCACTCTTGTCGTCGAACAAGGTGGTATACAGCAGCAACCAAATCCAGGCACCAGCCTCATCCAACGCCAACTGGTCTTTACCCCAGAATTTCTCCACAACGGAGCCTTCTGCCACACAACCGCGCTGCCAGAACGTCCCAATGAGGTCAGTCTTACTGACCGAAAGTATATCCATGCAATAATCCTGGCAGGCCTTTGTATCCGGCTCCTCAACGACCATGGATCCCTCTACAGGAATGTCCAAAATGGCCCGGATATCGTGCAGCATAATGCTCATTTCACCAAAAGGCAGGTGAAATGAGTTAGTATCTGGCTGCCATCGCTCCACAAATGCACTAAGCAGTGAAGTGTCCAAGTGGGCGTGCATGGAGTCTGCCAGATGTGACAGTTCAGTACCCTTGATCATATCAAGTGTCTAGGAAGACATATCACCTCGCCAATCTTTTAGATTACCGAACGCTTGCACTCTGAGATGGCATTTCAGTAAGCCTCGGCACTCTCCATTCCAAAACCGCGAGGCTACGTGCCCTAGAAAGCTAGGGATCACACTGTCATTCATGGGCCCACCATCCACTGGACCTCTAACGATCCAATCTGCCTCACGATCAGTCCTAGATCGTTTGCTAGTACCTTCATTAGAATAGAACATAATGTCACTAAAACAGGGCTAAGGGTCGTTTTGATATAAAGTGCACGAAAAACGGAGCCAAAACGAGTACAAACGAGCAAAAAAAAAGCAGAGTCTGTTAAACTCGCGACTCGCGAATTCGTCTCGCGAGTCGCGACTTATCTCGCGAGTCGCGAGATTCTTGCACTTTTGGCTCTGTGAAATCGCGACTCGCGACTTAATCTCGCGCCGCGCGACATTGTCTCACGAGTCCTCGAGTCGCGAGTTTAACACAACCAAAATATGTGAATTCGCGACTCGCGACTTCATCTCGCGAGTCGCGACTGTACCAATAACTTGTGATAACACCCTATTTAATAACAAACAACAATAAATACGTAAATTATTTACCTGAGGATCCAGTGCTAGCAAAACGTCCCCCAGCCTGTCGTGGAAGAGCAGGATGAACAGGCCGTGAAGGAGCCGCAGGCTGCACAGGAACCGTAGCCTGTGCAGGAATATCGTCATCGCCCTCATCATGTGAAGATGCCGACTCGTCAGAATCCTCAGCCATCTGGGCTACCGACTCATCAACATAATATCCCTGCTGACCGTCCGATGCTGGTGCTGGTGCAGGGGGTATCGAGCTGCCTGACTGGCCAGCAAAAACATATCTATGCTGACTGAGCTCATACAGTGGTGGTGCAACATATCCCTGCTGACCAACTAGTACTGGTGGCGTACCATATTCCCTCTGACCATCTGGTAGAGGTGTCTGCTGTCTCGAACTGCCTGCCTGGCCAGTCTGTACCCTATGAATTCCCGATCCTGACGAGCGGACGCAGTTATACCCCGTTGCTTCGGGTGTCGGTGTCCAGATTCGTCAATATACTCATCCATCTCGTCGTCGTTCCTATCAGATCGTTCAGGCCTAGCAATACCCTAAATCACCAATTTAAAATAAAAATTAGTAAATATATATATATATTTTTTAATTTTGTAAATATTTTTTTAAAATTTAATTTTTAAAGTCAAATTAAAATGATTAATTTACTTATAATGACGTCTTAAGTTAATATTAATAACTTGATAATCAATTTCAAATTTAATAAATATTGTAATAATTATTATAATAGTAATTATAATTTATAACATTCACGAATTTTTTTTATTTGTTGTAATTAATATTTTATTATTATTTACTTATTATAATTTTTCCTTTATTAATGTAATATTTTTTCTAATATAGTATTAATTAATATAATATAATTATTTTAATTTTTTTAACATACTTATAATACTTCTTTATTACTACAATAATTATATTAATTATATTTTATAATTTTTTATTATAAAATTATATTAATTTTTATTTAACATAATTGTATTTTTTTAATA